CCCCCCCCCCCCCAAATTTTGGCTGGATCCGCCCTTAAAGCATCGCTTTTGAAAACAATTCGCCTCACGCCTTTATATTTGCACTATTTCCGAACACTAGTTTATGTTCGCCGTTCGCGCAGTCTTTGAAAAGAACCAAAATTCTTTGGGACAAAAGTTTTTAGTTGTATAAGTTGATAAATTTAAAATTAATTTTTCCAATTTTCTGTTTTAAAATTGCAAACAAACAATTGAAAACATTACTATTATTTTCTTACTAAGCCTGGCTTTGCTATGAAACGCGAGAAGACTGTCGTAGAGGTCGACTTGTCTGATGAAAAGAAACGTGAAATCGTCTCGTCGCTTATACGAGAGCACACCAGCTTTACAAAGAAATTTGAACGCGAAAGAACACGACACGAAGACATGGTTAGTCAATATATTTTTATGATTCAGCTATCTGGTTTAGTTGATAACATTTTCATTAGTTTACTTTTGTTCGTATTTATTTATTTTAATCTATTTCTATCTCATCTTTGCGCGATGATTGCCTGTTGGCTCTCTCGTCTCTCTCCTTCGTGTTCGTAGTTCCTTCTATTCCCCTTATTCCATCTTCTTTTTATTTCGTTCTTTTCTTCCTTTTCTTTTCGTCTTTTCCTTTTCCCTATTGCTTTGCTTGATTTCGTTTCGATTCTATATTTATACCCACTTCTTACCCCTTTTCTCCTTCGTACTCCTTTCCCCTTTCCTTCTACTTTTCTTTTCGTTTCTTTGCTTTGCTTTCCTTTCCTTTCCTTTCCTCTCCTCTCCTCTCCTCTCCTCTCCCTTTACTTTCCTTTTGTCTCCTTTGCTTTGCTTTGCTCTCTTTTCGTTCTGCTTCGTTTTGTTTCCTTCCCTTCCCTTCCCATTCCGATTACCATCCTCGCAATTTCCCTGACCTAGATCTAAAAACGTTTTTAACATGTAACTGAGATACCCTTTTACAAAACAGCTGAAAAGGCGAAGAAGAAAGAAGCAAGAAAAGCGCGAACAGAGAGACGAAGAGGCGGCTTTCATCCTTGGTCTAGGAGAAAGACAGAAGACATTTGTTGAACAGCAGAAAAAGGTACCAACATGTTCCACTATAGAGGTCTTAATTTTTGACGTATTTCCGGGTCCAACAAGCAAAACATGATCTATTATAATACTGTGCTTTCATTCTGTCATTTAGGATGAGCGCGAACGTCAAATAACGATGATTCGTGACCGCATCGCCCGCGTCAAATACGAACGAACCCAGACAATGATGGAACCACGTGACGAAGGAGCAGGTAAAGGCTTCTCCAGTTTCCAGGACGACGAAGAGCTCAAAGGTCTGTCTGAAGACGAAAAAATGAAGAAAATTGCTGCTAAGATGGAAGAGAAATTCAAGTCGGAGCAAAGAAGGAAATCTAGCGTGCAAGTGGTATGAGTATATCGTATACTAGATTTTATTATTAGATTCTTTATTAATGCTTCCTTTTCAAAATAGTCCTCTTCACAGTTCGATCCCTGCGCCATCTTGAAATGTAGCCGTGCCTTTGCATCGAAGCGAGACGAACGGTGAGCTTGCAATGATAGACACATGTCAATAAATGTCCAAGTTGTTAAAAAGGGTCTCTATCATTACAAGCTCACCGTTCGTCTCCGTTGCAAAGGTACGACTACTCTCAAGATGGCGCAGGGATCGAACTGTGAAAAGGACTATTGTCTTGAATGTTCGGCTAACATGGAAATACGAAAACAATGCCACAAATTCCATCGAGAAAAAACTGTGATTTCTTTTGTATTTTCATGTTAGCCTCGCATCCAACACAAACTTGAGAAGGTTACATTGACGAATGTATAGAGCTGTCATCAATAAATCATGAATCATTAAATCATTATGAGCATTTGTATGGGAAAACGTGTTTGATGGCAAGCTGATAATCAAAGAACAGCAGTCATTCCAGTATTGTTCATTAGCTTTTGAATTAGGTAATATGTAAACCACACATGTCGTTTTGTTATATTTTTCCAGCTGTCACCACCAGTGCTTTCTCCGGACGGCAGTTCACTGGAAAACTCGGAAGACGAGACGCGTGAGGTATCCCATAATCTACTGGACGAAAAGGGGCGAGAAAAGAAGCTGAAGGAGCGAATGGCATCCCGACGAAGAAAGTCTAGACAACATGATCCTATCATGCCTCCCCCTCTCGAGGGAGCAGAGGGAGGCACTTGATTGGCTTTCATGCACCTTCCATCAGAGGGAGCAGGGCAAGGGGGGGGGGGGGGCATTAAATGGCGCGATTATCTCACTTCAAAGGATACTCCATTCAAGGGAGCAGAGGAAGGCACTTAAATGGCTTTGATTGATCTTCCATACAAAGGAGTAGAGGAAGGCACTTAAATGGCTTCAATGCATCTTCCATTCAAGGGAGCAGAGGAAAGCACTTAAATGGCTTCAATGGATCTTCCATTCAAGGAAGCAGAGGAAGGCACTGAAATGGCTTCAATGCCTTTTTTATCGAGGAAACATATGAATCACTTCATTGGCTTCCATGCGCATTCTTCTGGAAGGAGCAGAGGGAGGCACTTTAATGGCTTCCATGCACTTTTCTATCAAGGAAGCAGAGCGGGGCACTTGATTGACTTCCATGTGTTTTCCTAGGAAGGGAGCAGAGGGAGAGACTTAAATGGCTTTCATATACCTTTTTTATCGAGGGAGCAGACGGGGGCACTTAAATGGCTTCCAAGCACATTCCTATCGAGGAAGCAGAGGGAGGCACTTGATTGGCTTCCATGTATTTTCTTAGGGAGGGAGCAGAGGGAGACACTTAGATGGCTTCCATACCTTTTCCTATCGAAGGAGCAGAGGGAGGCACTGTCTTTTCTTATGAAGTAGTATTTTTTCCACATGCCTGCGTCTCAATCACTTCACTAAATTCACTTTCTTGCAGAAGAAGTTATAGTCGCTACATTTGATAGGATCGCGAAATGTACAAACCAAGTATATATTCATTTTAGTGCTTCGTCTTCGTCTTTTTCGCAAACGTATATTCTTCATTTACTTTTCTATAAATAAAATTACTAAATAATAAATTAGCCCGTATATTATTTATTTTCCATAGATGCGTATTTTTTCGAGTCGAAAAGAAACGAAACAAAGTTCGAAACCCAGACATTATTTTATTTCTCAGGTTAAGGTTACTGAACTCGTACTACATTCTTGCATGACTTGCTTTTTGCTTTGAACTGCTTTGTCTCTTCGCCTAAGAACGTAAAACATCCAGCTCGAAAAGGAATTTGTCGTGTTTTAAGACCTTCGGCAAAGTTTACTTAATCTTACCGGTTTAGTTGGTCCACTACTTCGTGCCAAGGTGCTATTCTTCATTCTTTCTCAAAAGCTAATCTTCCATCACAATCAAGGGTGGTGCTCTCATGCAATTGGGGTTCTTGGGTGCGATCCCTGGACTCGTCTCTCCCTTGATTTGAGAAGTTTTCCCCATTTTTCTCCGCAAAACCTAACACTGAATTTGAATTCGATCAGTGAGTTAGCTGTATGTCCAGACACTGATCAGCCCAGAGGTTGCTTTATGGAAGCGATAAAACGCTAGAATTTAATTTATGCGTGTGAATTTTCGGTCAACGATTCAAGAATCTACTACCCTGCGAGCAGAGTCTCCTTTTAACTCCTCCACGGGCGTAGAGGAGGTAAAAGGAGACTCTGCTCGCAGGGTAAGAATATAATTATATTAGTTGTGGATCATAAACATTAATGATTTAAATTTCAACACAGACATTCCCAAAACTATTGTTATATATATATTTTTTCATTAGTGTATATCCCCAAGCAGTATGATGGAAAATTAGAAATATACGTGATCATATAAAGAATGCACTGTTTACTTCACCGCCTGCTAAAGCTAAAGAAATTCTCACACGTATGTTTTTCAGTTCTGTCAAGTCCTTTCGTGTCATATCTCGATGACTTTGAGTAAAAGACGTGGTTAAGCTTTAATGACTTCTTGATCCCACACAGATAACATAAGATATTTTTTGTATCGATCAAGGATTATCAATGGTTAAAAAATCGTTTTATCATGAACAATCGAAGATTACGTGTGGATTCAAATTCTTCTGGAATTTATATTAAAGGCTATTATATTTTCACTGATTGAAATACGTTTTGTATAACTTTTCGTGATGCTCGATGCTACTGATTTCTTTGAATGATTCAACTTTGTTGAATTTTAAACATGCGCTTTCGTAGCAATAGAATTCAAACGGACAAGCCAATGCCAATCACATGTACTTAACAGACTTGGTTAGATAAGAATTCAAAACACACTTACCGTAAAGAGTGGCTGTTATGGAGTAATGTCTGATCTTAAACCAAATGAAAATATAGATATTTAGCTCTTAGATACTTTTTCGAATGGCTTAGTAGTCTGAACGGTGCTTATTAAATGCAAAGAAATATTACCCTTTTTTGAAAATGTACATTATGGAAAAAATATGTCCAAAATGCGAGCATTCTTAATTCCCCCAAGATTTTTGGATAATATTTTAATTGAACTTTTGAAATCGCTCGATATCTGATCTTTCGTAATGTCTGCGTGAATTTTAACTATGTTTACTGTCCGATCCTTGGCCATAGCTAAACAGCTATCTTTTTCATCAAAATTATTTATGTATGCCCCTCATTTATAGTTTTTGTATACTTGATTTGGAATATTAATCTTTGAACGTTAATTTTCAGTTTTCAGCCTTATATGTTTGAATTCTCTCAGTCCTAAAAATACAGCCAATCACAGACGGTTTAGTTCGCAGCTATTTTTTGGACCAATGGGTTATTAGAGCTGGGATCACCTAATGTCGCCAATAGAAAAAAAGCATTTAAAATGTATAATAATATAGTGAAATGTTTTGGCGACCCAAAAAAAGGCCACTTATCAGCTATAAATTGCATTAAAAATGAGAGATTTAGATGATTGTCTGGACATGAATCGATATAAATTAGTTTTAAAAATATTTTTTTTATTATTTGATTATAATTTAGCATATCAGTAAATCTAACATCAAAAAGATATTGACTACAATTAGAAATATTTGAGTAAAATTTTTTTAAAGACAAATCACGACTGAGCTTCTATTATTTCCGTCACGTGACAATAAAACCATTTGAGTGCTCCAAACTTGAGTGTGTTTTCACGCTTGTATGCATTCCGCTCTTTATCTCTTACGATATCAAATTCATAAATTAAATCAAATTCTAAACGTTTTTTTGGGAAGAAAATTGGGGACAAGTTGTCGGACGTCAAAAGAAAGAATCCTGTTCGTCGAATATCTATCAAACGGACCGTGCGCTGATTGGCTAAATTCAAGTTTGGAGCAATATTCCTCAGCTGAATTGATATTATAATGTAATTGCGTTTATATAAAGAAAGTATATTCGAAAAAAGTAGATAAATAATATTGGGAAAAAATACTATTTTTCTCGTTTTCTTTTTTACTAGAATTTTTTTTTGTGTGTGTGTGTGTATGTTTCACTTTCATTTATTTTTCCATTATTTTACGTTTTCCGCCTTTCTTAAGCTGTCAGGGAGATGGGATGCTATAAGAGAAGCTTTGCCTTTTTGCTTAATCTACTTTTGATTTATCCAGTGGATCAAGTATCAATTTTCTTTTCATTTATAAGCGGTTTTCAAGACCCATAAGCTTGTTAGGTCTCCTTTGTGTCATCCGTGAAGTTTGCTCAAACTACATATTTTCCTAACGAATCAAAGCGCCGACATTTTGTCAAACACTGAATAGGCTATTATGCTTTTCAATCTCCGCTTCCGATCGATCCGCGCAAGTGCACTAGGTCTTGAATATGTATATGTAAATCAGTTGTTGTTTTGGGAAATTCTTCTTATCAGTCTGAGCTATTGCTCAGTTTAATTCGTTGGAATAAAATGTCTTGCCTATGGTAAGCATAAGACTATTTTCTAGCTCATGGCTAGTCGAGGCTGCATGTTCGCTTTTCCAAGCTGGACACTGAAATATTTCAGCATGGAGCCGCTCACAGATCCGAAGGTAAAAATACCTATTTTTTTGTTTCTTTTATTTAAAAATGTATATATTTTTGTAGCTCAATTGGAGAATTGATTTTTATGAAGATCTTTATATATCAATAAGATTTAAAATTAAGGCTTAGATGGAGCACACTAAGCAGAACAATTTAGGACAAATGTTTATCGTTGAAAAACAAAATAAAACGCTTTCAATTCAAAAAAACGAAGCATATAGCTTATTTTCTGATTATTCAAAAGCATCTAAAAATACAAACCGTTTAAGTCTGCATTTTTGAGAAGCGAAAAAAATGGTAGATTTTATGAATGAAATATTCAAAATTCCAGAAATGGTTTTTTGCACAGGGCGCGTAACACTTCAGGGGTTTCTTGTAAGAGGCACCATTATTTGAGTCTAAAACTCTTTAATTCGTAGGCGTAAAACAAATAAAGTCTTGTAATTCCTCGCATAAAATAACTAAAAACAGCTTTACTTTTGATGTTCGACTCGTTGAAGTTTAGTAAAAAAATTAAGGTGAAATTATCGAAAAATTTTCTTGAATATTCAGTTTGCAATTAACGCTATTTTATAAAACTAGGATTATCAGCTCGGCAACTTTAGATATCACCGTCCTCTATTTATCTATTCTTGAAACAGAAATACTCGTAGCCGATAATATGTTCTAGAAATTTTAAATCTGTGGCGTTCTCTGACTGGATAAGAATGACCCCCGTTTTTAACATTTGTCGTAACACAAATTTTTACCTATAAGTGTATGTAATTGCCAGTGATATATATATTTTTCGGTACATTAGAGACCACGAAATTTCCAAGACCCATTCTTTTTAGCACCATCTGAAAACCATTTCCCAAATTTATTTACTCGTGTTGAAATTTTCGCACATATATGTACATTCAAACAAATGACTCAATGAATATCAAGGTTTTCATCGTTACCTGCTATCTCCTTGAACAGAGGAAGCCAAGTTAATTGCGCAATTCACTCTCATTTATTCTTTCAAAACAGTCTTTTGAACTAAAAATAATCTTTAGAAATTCTAGGACTTTGAAATTTAAGCCTTAATGCCACCATTGAGCGTATATGAAATTGTTTTGGAAGGGGAAAAAAATACTAATGAATAGAAGACATTAAGTTTGGCATTCGCCAATCAGTACGTGATCTATAGATTTCCGACTCCAGCTGATTGAGTCTCCAAGGTTTTATCCTTTGCGGCTAAGATATAGACTTTTGAATTATTTAAAGGATCACTTTTGAAAATCAATTTCTTAAGTCATTTAATCTAAAATGTCTGATCTCGAATCCAGAAAGACATATTTTTATTTTTATATATTTTAAAATGAAATTAGTCGCCGCATTTTCTTATTTTCATCACGTTCTGTATATCGATCGATCATTTCGAAGATATTTTTTTAACTCGATGTTACTGGAGAATATAGTTCATTGGCTAAAGAAAACAGGTTTAATTCTTAACGCGTATCTGTCAAATTTCGCCAAGGGTGTTAGATGAGTCGTGCTTTTTGACTTGCTCGTCATTGGTCAACCACAAAACAGAGTTATGACGTAATATATCAAGAAGAAAATAATTGGGAGAAATTCGCAATTTGATTCGGTGATAGCTCGACCATAGACAGTTAATTTATGAGCATACTATCTATCTCTCTCGTCAGTCTGGTGAAAACGCTGAGAACACAGAGGAAGCACGGGTAAATAAAGGGTTGACAACTGAGTCAGATGATGAGCAGGGAATTACCAAAGGTTTTTGTCCTGTGAGCTACGAATGCCAACAAGACATGGCAAATGAATCTACAAAACGACGATTCTCTTCGCTACTTACGGTAATTTGTCGAACGGCTAAAAGGTCGGCCAACAGGGTAGCGAGAATTAGGAAAAGCAAACCGGTGGTTGAAGAGCCAAGGAAAATATCTGCCAGAAATGAAAGTTCTACGATACAACCAGATAATGGATATGAAAATACAGCTTTAGATCAAGGTATTCAGTCCTAGGTTTTTCATTAATTCAGTGGAAGCTATAGACATATGAAAAATAATATATCTCATGATTCGTACGCGTATCCAAAAATTAACTAGATCCCTATTAAATTTAAATTTAAATCTAAACCTGGAATATAGAACTGGAATGAATATTGAAATTTTTTCTTTCTATTTTTAATTCAGTTGAGCAAAGATTTAATGAAACCTATGAACTTCTACATCTGGTTGGGAGAGGTGGCTTTGCAATGGTCTATTCTGGAGTTCGAGTTAGAGACTCTAAACCGGTAAGTCAGGAATCAATTAAGTCAGAAATTTTGAAAGTCAAAACTGGTTCTACTTGCAGTGTTTCAGGATTGCGTATTTCTGATCATTCATAAGGACATATATATATACTGATTAAACACACTCCAATACTTACGCGGCCCGATATTAAAGATTATACAGGAAGCGACTTTTAAAGAAAAAATATCCCACACAGATGGTTTTTCTCTCACACAAAAAAATTAAAATTGTTTAGAAACAAATTAATTTTGAGAAACTTAATGACAGGTTTTTATAAGCAAGTGAAATAATTCTGGTGATGCTGTTAAATTTTTGTGTTGCTATTTGGTGGAGTTATTATGTATCGTTATCAATATATATGAATTCACGTCTGAAGGTGGATTTGGATGAAGAATATGAAATAAAAACGTCTAAGACGATTTTTAATGAATTTGCCATTTCGTTCATCATCTCACTCACCTTGAGCACAAAAACGACTAGAGGAAAGAAAAAACGTATGATTTTGATAAAGATAGATGGTAATTTCGTTCTTTTCTTTCATATTCTTGATTTCTTAATCTTTTTAAATATGGGGAGGGAAGGGG